GGAATCGCTGAAATGGTTCAAAACTGATATCACACTGGCTCTTCTCACATTGGCTTTCACTTGGCCGGCTCGTTGGCTCAGGCAGTGATGAGAACCTGTGCAGTTCACAGTTGGCAGATGGGGATGGAACCGAGGGGGCCGGAAAAGGGAAACAACACCCCAAACAATTTCAAATAGGCCACCTTTTTATTCCATGGAAAAACATGTGATTCCGGCGTCCTTGGTTCATTGAACTTGGGAAGAGAAATCATATGGATTTTGAAGTGCGCCCAATACGGGCTCCTGTGACTAAATCGATCTGTTGGGGCTTATGTTGAAAAAGGGATGCCTGCATAGGTTTGGACCGAAGTCAAGTGTCTAAAAGAATGATTGCCGTGTTTTTTTTGGAAACCGATTCAATCCTCTTAAGAAGCCTTTTTAGGCTCATTGGGGGTTGCACCAATCTGAGTGAGTCAGCCATGCCCCTTCTTGCCGATGTCGCTGTACTTAGTGAGCCGGGGTCCCATGCGATTTTTTGCTCTGGTTTTCCATCCAATTTGGATTTAGGCCCATATGTTCAAAAGATACACATTTTGCCAAACCAGGCCGGAGTTGAGCGAAGATGAACCTACAAAAGAGTACAGGTCTCAGATTTGGTGGCCTGTCAGTTCAATATTCATCTCTTTTCACCCCTTCTCATGGCTTCACAAGATTTTCAATTGACACTGAAAGGTTGGACGATTTATCCAGAAAGGCCATGTGGTTTTTGAGCTGTTTAACATTTGACAACCCATGATTACTCAGAAAATCAGAATATCTACGCTTCTCAAAAATTTTGTGGAAGGATCCGTTGCCCAAGTTTGCGATCTTCAAAGAGGACATTCTGTGCCAGCACAGTCCTAGCTGTATGCCCCAAGCCAAAGGTGATCCGTTGAAGATTGTCTTGGTTCTTTGATTGCACAGCATTCAAGACGTTAGTTCGATTCAACCAGAGAAAGACCCAGTGCCATTTTACACTAATTCCACCCTTTTTTTCTGAGGTTCCAAAGAGACCAGCCAAAGGATGCAAACTTCCAAAGAAGGGGACCATTTTGGAGAAACCGGTCACGCTGAAGACCTGGGGCACCATCCGCCCTGGCCTCAAAAGTCCACTGTTATACTGTTGAAGTCGTCTTGGTCCAATTTCACTGCCTTCAGGAGTGTTTGGTGCCACGCAGAGGGCCAACCCGAACTACTTGTCGAAACGTGGAAGTGGGGACCGATTGTCCGATTGTCATTCTTTTTTATGGCGAACAAAAACATCATTAATAATATAGAAGTGATATCAACTGACTGCCGCTGCAGGACTTTGGAAACCAGGTGCGCTGGTGGAAAGACTATGTTTCCGCCTGCAAGCTGGCCAAGAAGCCAATGGGACTCTTCGTGCGTCCTGAAGTCGGGGAGCTCATGTCAGGCCAGGTTCCAAACGTTCACAGCTATTATGACCAAACCATCCAATCATACAAAAGCTATTTCATCCCATCCCCCTAATATTTAAATCGATCTATATGGGCACCAAAAATTGATAGATATTGGTGGTGTTCAATATTAGAGGGATGGGTTGTTCATATCTGATGCAGGTCTTCCCCATGGGTGGACAGATTTGAATCCAAAGTCTGTCTTGGATGATCTGGGCTCCATCTATGAGTGGGTCGGTTTGCAGGAGCTTCTGATATTTTTATGCGTTGTTGAGGTATCCTGAATCATTTTTCAAAATGCTGGGATTTCAGAACAGAACCAGGACCAAAGACCAAAGTGGAAAGTGGCATCCCTTTTTTCGGGGGTACTTGGCCTAGAACTGGCAATGCGACAGTCTGATCCTAAGGCATAAACCATTTATATATGTTTAGGCCCAAATAGTGCCAACCATATGGATGTTCTGAACATTGCCATCAGGTGGACACAGTGCGTATGCTATGTCAGTCACTTAATGCCATTTACAATGTGATGATACACTGTGAGGCATGGGGAATCGGATTGTTCTGCCAAGCTGTCATTCTACTACCACATCCCAGGTTGAGAAGTCGCCCTACTGTCAGAAGCTGATTCAACAGAGAATTTGTGATGGATTAGCGGACCCTGGCACCATCTATGACGACGTAAGTCAATGCAGACTTTCTGAAAAGGTCGATGGATTTCTTGCTGGCTTCCCGTGCCAGGGTGTGAGTAAGGCAGGTTTGGGCCATGGACTAGCTGATCAGCGCTCAGCCTTGCTTTCCCATGTGTGGAGACTGTGGGACCAACAGCCAGAGCCACCGAGACTTTGAATCAATTTAGCTTCATATATAGTTCAACAATTCCCACTAACAAAAATCAGCGAAATTCAGTCCATGAATTCAATCCGTCGTGTACAATGCAAAGCCATGGAATGACTTAGGAAATTCGCTGTTTTAGAGAATGTGGGGGCGATCATCCACCAAAAACAGCGACCAATGTTGCAGTACCTCCTCCAGGAGTCATTGTTTACCTGATTGTTTGTTATGAATATCAGCCATATATCAGCCATTGACCCATTCCTTTCCCCCTGTCCTGTGGCTTCTCCTGCCAGGAGGCCAAAGTGCGTGGCCTTCGGGTGACCTGGGCCGTTGTGAATGGCAAGATGATTGGTGCGCCGGCTGGGGCCCCACAAGAAATATTATGCGTTTTTTTCAAAATCGGCCATTCGATTTAGAATTTGAACCAATGTCCAATTCCACATATGATGCACTGAGATCTGGCGTGAGAGGGTTTTTTTCTTCATCGCGCGACCAGACTTCCAGTTCTTCCAGGCTCCAACATGTCATATTTCTTGAACGGATTCAAACAAAACAAGGCAACCTATAATCAGCTTATATCAGCCTATATCAGCCTATATCATTTTAACACCGCCTTGCCAGGGCTTCGACATGGCAGACCCAGAGAGTTTGAGGAACATGCCGGCCAAAAAGTGGATGGCCAACTCGCGAAGGGTTGCCTTGGAGGAGTGGTTGGCCCCTTCCCAAACGGGAAAGGATCGTGAGCGCTTGTGTTCCATTGGCAACGTTGTTGTCCCCAGAATGGGGTTCTTTGCCATGAATATCTTGAAAGAAATGTGGACATCTTAGGGTGTCAGTGCAGTAGCATGGTCTATCGCATTGAAGTCGTTTAAATTTGGAAGGCATGGGAAGTCATTGCAATGGCTGCAGCTTTCTCCAATTTCAAATTAAATGTGGTGTGCCACATGGAATGCATGTGAGTCAGCCTGCTTGTTTTTAGTAAATCAAAAGCACAGCAATATCCAGCAATATCATCAATTTTGGTGGAACCACCGCAGGTTGGGTCACACAATGAATGGGTTGCTTTGATGCTATGTTGCGCTTGAAGCGGCATTTGACCAAACATCCGATGGCCAAAACAGCCACCGCTGCCCATTGACAATGGCCACACACAATCAAATCAGTAATGTACCCAGAACCAGACTCATTTCAAGCATTATCTCTGCCACTATTTCATGCCAAGCGGCTCAAATCTTTTCCGGGTTGACCGGCATCTTGCAGCAAACCTGCCATGTTTGCGGTGATTTTGTTGGCAAAGAGATGTCATATTTGATTTCATTGGGATTGGGTGCAACACTCTGACCGGTCTCCGAAAGATTTGGCTCGTTTACTTGGTCACCAAGTTGTGGATGCAACTGATGCTGGTGTGATGTGCTAGTTACCTAATTTTGAACCAGCAATTGCTTGAATCTTCAGTGATTCATCAAGCCTAGGTGAAAATGTAATCAAACATGATTCAACATCAAACAACTCAGCGTTAAGATTCTTAACCTCTTTGGCTCTCTGATTCGATGATGGCTCCCAGCCACATTCAACTCAGGACCATTATTTTTCAACAAGTTCTTCAAATTTTCATCTGATCTTCCCTGGCTGCAGGACCGGCCTGATCTGAAGGATAGCGCCGTTTGGGAAACCTGAGAGTTGGAGGCTGAGTGACTCCAAATGAGCGCAGCTATTTTTGACCATATGTTCAAACCACACATAGCGACACTGCATGTCAACAAAACAGTCATACTTATTATAGAGTATCTACAATACATATAGTCCACATCATATTTATCCATGAAGTATGTGTCTAAAAATGGTTCCAGCCTATTTGAAGCAACCCTTGGATATTTCCATCATCCCTTGCAGCTCTTACCCCATGAGGCCACACCAGCGCCCTTGCAAAGGACCATTGTGGAGGGGATCGGAATGCCCCTTTTGTCCATTCCATGGATACAGCTGGTAGAAAATTAGTTGATATTAGTTGGATTTAGAATACCTATGATACCCCTGGTTATCCCGTATCTTCATTCCCTGTGCTTGCCAGGATTGGGTTGAACAACTTTCCAGCCAGCGATCTAGCGTTGGGGGCCCCAACTAATAGAACACAGTGGTGTGAGTGAACTTTTTTCAAAACAAATCAGTGCGGTTTCCAACCCGAGCTTCCACCACCAGTTTGTGCTGAGGTCACCCCAGGCAATGCTCCCTGGCGTTGACAGCCTCAGCGATGAGGAAGCATGCAACAATGTGAGGTTTCATCCAGGGGCTCCTAAGATTCCTCGTCGTCGGCCTCCCCGGTTCAAACGAAAAGGTGTCAGATCTTTCCAACCGGATTCAGCTGATTTGAAAAAGTTGAGATGGATAGTTCGTCGAAATGTGGATGCTCTGGGCAATGCTTCAAACCGTTCAATGATAAGCCACAGTTGTTCAGTGAATGGGCAAAACTTCGACGAACGCTGCAGAACATGACAAAACTTGAGAAGGATGAGCATGCTACCTAGTTGACATTCAAAGTTTCTTTTTGATTTCCAACGTGTTTTTGGAAAAGGTTTTATCATGCCCTTTGTACCATCTTTCCATTCCAAGCTCCCGGCTGCCGAGGTTTTTCGCCATCTCAAAGACCAGAACCACAGTGATGTCTGCAGAGGATCAAGGCATTTGAGGCTTCTGGGGCAACTACTTTGCCGAAGGGGTTACCAGCAAATGATGGGCATTGGAAAACGGAGGTTTCATATTCTCAACACAGCAGCCCGTAAAAGGGAGACATTTGCTCCTTTTGACTTGAGGTTCTCTCCAAATAGGGGGCGGACTATCATCAGTGAAAAGAGGCAACAAGTGTTTGACTTTTTGCATGAGCTTTGGGAAAACGTTGCGGAACCTATTCCAGATGGGCTTAATTCCAACAAAAGGCCACGGCATGGCAATGATAAGTGCGACCCCAAAAACATGTGCCGCGAGAACATCAAGCATTTGCCGGCTGGTTCAATAAATGATTACCATCGACAATGTCAAGCTGCCCTGAAAGATATGTCTGTGAGCCGGAAGCTATTCTGCTTGGTGTCATGGCTAAACATCAGACAAAAAATTGGATATATATAAACATATATATTTATACATATATATATATTTATACATATATATATATTTATACATATATATATATACATATATATATATATTTAAAACGGATTCATTATATAGGGATTTATTTGGTGGTGTTTTTATTTTATGTGGCCCACTTACAATGTAGCCCTTCTTGCAAAGCCACTAAAGGATTCCAATTTATCAGTTGGGATAATATGAGAAACAGAATTGGGAAAAATGGTGGTGTCCTCTGAGGTATGGCAACAAGATTTCGGCGACCGATTGAGGATCCGGTTTGCAAATCACCACAGCAAATGCTCTCAATGTATTAAACACCGGCTCATCATAAAGCGTCTGGGTCATTGTGGACCAGCCAGGAGATCCCAATTCGAAGAGTTGCAACGTCATTTGAATCGACAACTCGCTGACAGGAGAACGTATTACTTTTTGCGTGCCCAATCCCGGCTGAATGCATCAAGCCCTTTTGTGGGAGAACTGTGTTGCATCCTGGATAGCATGGATATGCAGAAATATGCGTGGCCAAAATCGAAAATCATGTTGGCAAAAGAATTTGCCACCTGGGCTAGGCCTCGAATGGCTTGTACGTCCATGTTGATTCATGGCCATGTGGCCTTCACAGCGTTGACTCACCACTGCCTTTCAACAAACAGCTCCAGGACAGCAGAGATTTTGTCAGCTGGCATGACATTCTTGTCAAAGATGAGTCGCATTGACTTCTCAAAGATTTTTTTGAGTCTACAGGCAGATAATGCCTCAAAAGAGGTCAAAAACAATTGTATGGTTCGGCATTTGTCAATGCAAATTGCATTGGGCCGCTTGAGGGGAGCACAAATGTGCTTCCTCTCAAGCGGTCACAGTCATGAGGACATAGATGCCATGTTCAGTACCATACGGAATTGGCTTGGGAGGTATGCAGAGCTGTTGACACCGGAATCCTTTGTTCAAGCTTTGGATGACTTTTTCCAAGTACCAGAGCACCGTTCCAATGAGAAGTTTCGTTCGGTGATCCTGATGTCCAAGTTTCGAGACTGGCAGCTTCCTTTGACAATTTATCTCATGAAGCTTTCTGACAATGTTTGGAGTCAAGCTAAGACAGTTATGTTTTGAGAGCTTGATCATTTACTTGGTGGGCCCGACCGTTCTCACAACCCAGGAAAAACTTTTGGGGCGAGTACATGGACTGTGCCCATGTCAAAGGTATCGGGGGACCAGGGGCTCCTCATGCTTTCAGATTGGAGAGAGTGGCTGATGCAGGACTTCCCATGGTTTCACTTTGGTTTTATTTCCCAACTGTCCAAAGTATTTCCCGATGGCATTATGGGGCTCCTAACAAGTTGAAAACAACATCCAATTAAATTCTTCACCACCTCTATACAATGATGTTGATATGGGGATGCCTAAAAATGAGATGTCCGTTTTCCCCTTATAACAGCAATTTTTGAGACATAACATATCCATATAATATATGAATCAATAAAATGTAATAATATCCAACCCTCCTGTTCTTGGAAATTGGGGCTATTTATTCTGTAAGTGGGCTTATCGGATTATCGGGTTATTTTTATCGATGAGTCTTTATTATGGGGATTGAAATCTGGCCCAGGAGTGGACCGACAGAACATCGATTTCAAGTTTTGGCACCGACGAGGGATTACCACCATCCAAGATGGGGACGTGGTGATGAGGAGAATTTTTGAAAAAAACGAAACATCCATGCTGGTTTTTCTGGATTATATTTATCCTAGACCTGTGGACCCTTCCTAGGACCAAACGATTTCTTTCAGATGGTCATTGGCAACCCAAGACAATCCTGATCCTCCCTGCCTCCGTGGCTCGCAGTGTCAATGGCAACACCCCACCAGGTTGGGCCTCATCCGGGCTTGGGGTGTGCCGTTCAAAGTGACAGTGTTGAAACATGTTGAGACCCTTGTCAACTAGTATAATAAACTATGGGGGTGACCCATGATGGCCCTGGTTCTTTGGTGGTAGCAATTTCACCTTTGCCCCTTGCCAGTTTTCGTGGAGAAGTCATTTAACGAGAGTTCCGATGAGAACAAGACCTTGAGGAAATATGCATCAATGATGCGTCCTGGCCTCAACCTTCTTAGATCCCAGTGATTCGTGAAGTTTCATTCTTGCCAAGAACTTTTGGGGTGGACTTTGGGATATAGCCACAAGGTCAAGAGCCCTTTGTCTTGAACTCCACAGCTGATGCCCTAGAGAAAGTGTCCATGGGTATCTTCGATGAACCCTTTGCTGATGTGTCCTGGCCCATGGCTCAGTGAACAATCTTTGTCAAAAATAACCTGGAAGATCTTGTGCGAAGTTTCCAAACATTTGTCAAAAAGCCAGACGATTCTATAACTGTTCCATTTGGGCTGGCTTAAAAAAGACACCCGCAAGCCAAGACACCCTTCAAAAATCGTAGGATAAACACATTATTTTCCTGGCTTTGTGGTGCTTTTTTAAGCCAACCCAACTGGACAATTGGCTTTCTGAGGTCACTCCCGGCCCCGGGTCCCACTGTTGGCCATGGTGCTCCGGCTGTCACAAGGATAAAACCGAGAATCTTAGATGCTGTCCGGCGCTTACTACTTTGAACTTTGGTCAAAAATAAAACCAGCTAGCCGCTAGCCAAGTGCTCCCCAATTCCTTCCATTTGGATTGGTCCGCCAAAAAAGCCCCCCACAAGTCCCATGTTTTTTCAAAAAGTGCAGGGAAAACATTGTATTTTGGGGACTTGTGGGGGCCTTTTTTGGTGAGCCAACCCAAGTGGAAATTTGCCATTCGAGGCCCCAAATGAGATCAACTTGAGAGCTGAACGACCGGAGCGGGAAGAGATCCTGCGGTACCAGCGTGCCAGATCAACACAAGCGCTGCACAAAGCAGCGGCAAAGCTTTGGGCTTGTGGGATTCCTATGAAAAATGCCATCAAAATCGTCAAAGATGCTGTAGAAGAATCTCATTAGTTTAAGTCTTTCGTGACCGGCTCTGTAGGGGAGTGCAGAGCAACAAGCTGAAATACCGAGCATTTTGTGATACTGACAAAAGTTGGTTTCCAGTCTTTGTGACTAGATAGCATTACTAAAGTGATTCTTTGTGAGTCAGCTTGTCAACGTCATGTCTTCAAGGAGCTTTGGAAAAGACAATTTGTGAAGAGCAGGAAAAAAGTGCATGCTGTTTGTGAGGGCTCTATTCTTCACAATTTGCATACCCCAAGCGGGAGTGTGTTTTGTGCTTAGCCGGGATTGATCTCGGCACAAACCATTAGCTGGAAACTTGAGTGGGGTGAGTTTCAGATTGCCAGGGTTTGAAAACTTCGAAATCTATCCCTGAGTCATAGGGTTTTGTGCTTAATCCGATCCCAACTCGGCACAAACCACTCCAGTCTTTGGACAATGAGGTTTGTGAAGAAAACATGTATCACAAAATGCTTTGGGAGTTTGGGATCCCATCACAAACTGGGGAAACACAATAATGGGACCAATGATTTTGTGAAGAATCCGATCTCATCTCGGCACAAAATGGGATGTTGGGGGTCGAGCTCGGCACAAAACCATGTTTGGGAAACCGTCCTCGGCACAAAACATGAATTTATAAAAAGAGCTCGGCACAAAATCCATTGAACTCGGCACAAAATCCAATATGGATCCAACAAGATTTTCAAGTATCGGTTGCCTCCACCCCACCATGAATAATATCCCTGACTGTCCTCCGGCTCATGCTCGAAGCCAGGTGATGCCTCCAAAAGGCACAAAGCGGACAAGCGGCGGAGGTGGCGGTGGGAAATCCAAAGCCAAGAAGGGGTCCTCCGACCAGTTACCAGCCCTACCTGCCGGGGCCCTCCACTTGCCCCACATGGCCATTTTCGAAGAGTGGTTGATTCTTTGAGGTATGAAGTAAACAAACATTTTTTATTCCTGGAAAATCCTGGATAAATAAACGACCCAAAACATGTTCAACTAATTGACAACCGCATTCATGGTTTGAACGCCGACCATCAGCCTATCAAAGGAATGACAACGTGACCAGCCACGAGCTTTGCATGGATCAATTCTTGGAAAGGAAGCTTTCGAACCAGGCTGGGGGACATCTAATTCGGTTTGAAACATTGGGGATGTGAACTACTTGAGTTCAGTGTAGTCATTATTTTTTACCCGCCAGCAAGCCAATCAGTTTATGCTGATTACCAGCCAACGCAGGCACATGCTGCTGACTTCTACCAGTGGTTAGATGCCACATTTGCCGCTGACCCTGCAGTGTCCGGAACCCAGTCATCTCGACATCACTCCTCAATGAAAGTTGTCCAGCTGTCTGCAAGTTTCATCAAGTTAGTTGCCTTGGTTTAAAATTACTTAGATTTTATCAACCCACTGCTTGTTTCAAAATGATCTGCAGGAGATACATCAAAGCATCCGATGCTGGTGTTTTGGGTGCAGTTCAGATCCGGGCCCATCACCTTCCGCACAGAGCTGACTTTGGTCTCCGTGGAACAGCAGACCATGATACTTTGACTTAGACCATGATACTTTGACTTTGCTGCCTGTGTTTCTGACTTGATGTTCAATGGGGGTGGTAGTTTCTTGACTTAATTTCCATGGGGGGATTGACTCTCCTGTCATCATTTGCCTAGGATGTGCAGCGCCGGATAGCGCAACTGGTCTTGCTCAATGGTTTCCAAACCTGTGCTGATGTCCCTGGATGTGAGAAGTTGTGTGGGTGCTTCCTCAATCGCCAGTGGTTGCGTGAGAAATCATTCTCATGGGATGTAGCCCAAGACCTGAAAATGGACCCGGCAGAGCTACCCCCTCAGAGCCTCTTCATGGTGAAGGGGTGGAACAGGGCAGTATGCTGCCTTTGCGTCCTGTATGCTGCTTGGGAGAGGCAGGACATGCTGCAGGCATGAGGGATGTTGATGTTGGTTTTTTTGTTGTTGTAGGATGTCACAACCGTTTTGCTATGTTTTGCTTACTTAGCAACAACAAGTTGCATTTGTTTCTCAGTCTTGTGGTCAGGCAATGCCAGAGGGTGTCAAGCGGAACCTCAGCTGTAATCTCAACATATCTCAGCTGTCTTTTTGGAAGTGCGCTCAATTTTGCTCAGCTTGGGGCCAACTGTGTGTTGAACAGCGCGTTTGATTTGATTTCATCACATATCTCAACATTTTTGTTGCAATGTAACCAAGCCTCAAGTGATTGGTTGTTAGGACCTTCTCTTGCATCTACATGACCATGCTCGGGCCGGAGAACACCAACAAAATTGTAGATACAAACCGCGGCTTCTTGTCAAAAAATGTTACTGCAAGTGTGATTTGCCCAATAAATAGGCTATATTTATGCTACCTTGTGAGCCTTGCTCAGGTGTGACCTTGAATGCTGGGGTGCGTCGACGGCCGAATTGCTTCAACTTGCTGTTTCAGTTGGAGTTCTTGTGTCGCAGCGGGGTTTCTAAAGAGCATGGCATTGCCGGCCTGGAGGCCATACCAAACTAGTTGTTTCCTTTGTGGTTTGCAAAGTAATTTGCTGCAACCATTTGCATGTATGCAGAAATTGCCCAATCCTGTTTCGCCTGTGTTTGATTGGCTGATAGGCGTACGACGATGTTTCCAAGTTTGCAAGTGCCTATTCGCTCGGGGCCACAGAGTCCCAGGCTGCAATCAACCTGCTTCGCAACATCCCCAAGCATGTCAAAGACAAATTGACAGAACTGGTCAGGCAGGGTAATATCTACTTGTGCAAAATTATTACACTAGTAGAATCTGGATCATCCTGCCTGGATTGGCTTTAAATTGCCCTGCTTGCAGTCGCTTCACTATGCCTCGCTTCATCACGCATGAGCCGTTGGCCCAGAACTTGTTCAATATCTCACACAACACTGGAGGGGGCCCTTTGCAACCCTGGTCAAGAGTGTTGACAAACACTGAACCTTTGGTTCGCATGCTTGTGGCGCGGATGGAACACGACTATGTTGCCAGTGCACCGAAAATGAGAAAGCCTTGGGGAAAGGAAGTTGAATCTGGGACCCAAACATGTTTCATTCTGCTAATTGAAACCGCTAATACTTAATCAAATTAACAGCTCCAATCTTCATCCCGGGTCAGCTTGTTCCAAGGAAGGGTTGCAGCGCATTTGCGGTGCCTACCTAGCGGCAGTGGATCGATATGCTGAGTTGGTGCCAGCAGCCTTTTACCAGAAGACTATCCCGGAAATTGAAAAATCGCAGCTTAGCACCACATTATCCCAAATTCACTGGGGTTGCTCAGGTTCAACTGAGGTACAGCAGGCCGACCGGCCAGTGGGTTGAATAAAATCATGAAACATCTCTTTGACATTATCCATCACATCATCTAGCAGCTAGCCAAAACATTGAAGGCAATTGTTTTTGATATATCACAATAATATGCAATAATTTAATGCTAAAACCCATCCTGCAGTTGTTTTTGGGTCATCGAAACATGAGGTTTCTTCACCGCCATGCTGATGCAGACCTGCTGAATGTGATCACAACTTCGGTACCACCGATGGATCTCTCCAAGGTGATGATCTTCAACACCCATCTTTTGAAGTACAACTCTGAGGTTTGGGGGGATGGTGGTGGGTTCTCTCAATCCCAAAATGTTCATCAAATGAAATTGGGAATCCATAAGCTTAAATTATGATTATAGCTGAATCAGCAACCTTCCGGACCCTCGGACAGGTTCCCACAAAGCCTGTCATAGTCGGTAGAGTAAAAGCATCCTTCCATCATGCGAGGCAGTTGATCTGACCCCTGGGATTGGCACTTGGAAAAACCCTGTAGATTCAAGTCTTTTATCTTTGCCCACAGGAGGACAAGAAGAGTTCAGACCGCGCTGCTCAGCTTCTAGGCCAAAATTGGAGACTGACTTTTCAGAAATAGTTTGGAATCCACACAATGAAAACTTGTTGTTGTGTAAAAAAAACCTTAGCAGTAACACCACCTTCCCAGCTGTCCTTGGGTTGGCATGAGGCTTTCGGCCCAGCTTTTGCAAGCGACCTGGGGCCAAACGGAGCTGAACTACTACTCAGATCTCAAAAAGCTTCGGGAATGGGCCCAGAAGTTTGATTTGTTCAACCAGCAGCAGGCAGCTGCACCATGATGTTTTTGAACATATTTGAACCATCAAAAGATTCAAGCGATTTTTTTTGGGTTGATGCGGATTCCTTCAAACCAAAGTATTTTCACACTCCATGCTGATTAGGCTATGATGGACTACAAGTACCTGAGCGACCGCTACATGAAGGGGAAGTCCAAGGTGTCAGAGTTCATGGATGAGAAGCACAAACTGGTATCTCATGACTCGTTGATCATGTCTCATTCAACCATAGTGGAGATGCAAGGGGCAATGGGAAATTCCGGGTTTCTTGGTTTATCATTCATTTGAATTGTTTTTTTGTTAAAGCCGATTTGAAACAATATGTTGAACCGAACCGCTCAACATCTTAGGCTTACAATTATGATCTTTGATGCGACTCTGTGGCCTTCTCGTGACTTGATTTTACTTTTACCAGCCACATGAACCGCGGGTTCCAATGGGTTCTTATCGATCCATCAGGAGCGCTTGCAGTCGATGAAGCTGTGCAGCTTTGCCAGAGTGTGAGTTCCGGCAACCAGAAGACGATTGCATGGTTCCTACTTCCGCAGTACCATTCGTCGACAAGTCAGTGCACAGTTTTGAAAAACCGCCATCTATTGGAAGACAAAGTTGTCGCGATTCTTGGTTGAAAACCCTGATAAACAACATCATCACATGATGCACTTTTTATCTGTTCAACGCTGACAGTGCCATTCACCCCTAGATTCAGATTGTGCTCCAAATTTTAGGACAGTAGATGCATACGAAGTGGCACTCACCTTCAGCGACAGTGTCCATCAAGGTGACCGGAGGAAAAAAAGCCAACAGTGTTTCTTGACATTGACATGTATTGAAATGCTCGTGAAGTAATTGGGGACTGGTTGCCATTTCCATGGAATAAAACATCTACTAGAAACCTTATCCCCTGTTTTTTGGGATAAAAGGGTGTCACCAAAATTTGATCTTCCACTGGGTGGCCCAGGCATCGCCGGCATCGTTGGGATCCAGGGAAGCCATCCTTGGCTGCGCTCCAAAGCGATGCTGGGTTCAATCGTCAATATCCAAAGAGATCGTGTGTCAGAGTTGCAAAACCCAGAGCCCGAGAAGCCTCTGGCCCCTCACTGGCGTGTTCCTAACTACTCATTTACTCAAAATATTTTTGTTTTTTTGGGTTCATTACCGTATATGTATATACATATATAATATATATATATATTGTTTATGTCCAAAGATGATTCAATAGTTGGCTTGGCCTCATGAAACCCCAAGGTTCAACAGAGAGGTGTTGGTGCCACTCAAGCAATCTTGGAACAGCTGCTGGACGGGATGTTGTCTGATGCCACAACCCCCGTTTTGGTTGTGGACCTTTTGCCAAACAGGTTGGGTTCAAAATAGTACCAATCTTGTAATCCATGTCCATCCCCTTACAAACTTGCATGTTGATATCCATCCTCACCCTGCAGATTTGCGGAATGGAGTGCTGCTTCTTGGAAGATCCAACGTGAGTTCCTCTTGGGCTCCGACACCAAGATCGATTTGAGGTTCTTGGCGGTGTACCACAACGATGATGCTGCCTTCATGCATTCGACCGTGGATGGATTGCTTGGGCGTGCGATGAGCTCTTGGTGGGATGATTGTGAGGAAGCAGGGCCCAAAGCCCGTCTGGGTACTGGATTTCAGGAGGACCCCCCTTCCCTCGAGGTTTTGGCCATCAATTCAACTGAACATACCGTGGTGACTCTTGGTGAAAATCAATAGTTTCATATCTTTCAAGCTGATTTGATTCAAATTTCCAACTGTATTTGGAGAGGTATGGGTCATATGGATGTTTCCCAAGCCCTGGTTCTAGTCAATTGTTTTTCATGTCACCACTCTACCAAAAATTAGGATTCCGGATATGATTCGGGAAAAGTTCAAAGCTGGCTACGCCGACCAACTGAACACGATGACAGACCAGTTGAGCGAGGAAACTCTCCTCTTCAATGCTTTGAAAGCTCACCAAGGTCAACCAACAACAGCTTCTGGGAACAACAGCCAGGGCCAGATGAACCGAACTACAGGGAGCCCAGAGTGGTGTGGTGAATTCCCATGGAACTTCCGCAAGAATGTGCCTGGCAGTTGCATACCAGTTGCAGATTTCGAGGCCAACAATACGTTTCTTGACTAACTGAAAGATGGTTCGCTTGTTTTGGGAATGCTTTGAGAAAGTTTGAAGAAACAAAAACAATCAAAACAAACATATGGCCTACGTCTTTTTGGGATAGCCACCAAAATAGCATGTGCTACCCTATCCAGCCAATGTCCGGCCCAGGATCGATGCCTCTGCTGCGATGGCAAAGGAGCCCACTGTCGAGGTTGCCTTCGCAACTTTGGAGGGCATTTGGCTGATCAACCGAGGTTCAACCAAGGTCCAGCTTTCAGCTGGTGAACTTTGTGGCTTCAACACTGGAGTCTACGTGGAAATTCCATCAGGCTGGGATTCAAAGAAAACAGTGGCAAGATTTTTGTGTTTGGCGGTGCTTATAACCTATAAATCAAATAAAGTAAAAATGATGATGGTTCTGATAAGGAAGATGGTGGTTGTTATTGTATATATATATATATGCATGTGTATTAAATATACAGTTTTATATATATATATATACATATTATATATATATATATGCATATGTGTTGTATAGATTTATATTGACATAGTTTTAGATAAAGGTTGTTTTTAAGAAAGTCGTATCTTATGTATGTAATGACGATGGTTGCATAAAATGCGGAACTGCTTACATTGATAGATTTTGTTTTTATTCCAACCGGATGTGCAGTTTAATATATATAATTATATATGTATGTTTGTATAAATGTATGTATGTATCTATCTATCGATCTATCCATCCATCCATGCTGTCTTTTATGCACCATCGCAATAAGCCAGCAATTGCCCTTTTCCAATTCCAGTAACCACCATTACAATAAATAAAGGACATCTATGACATTGGCCCCTTAGAAAAACCGAAACGGATAAATGCTCACAATTTTACAATCATTACCTGCACCCTGCAGCTGGAGCGACCGCCAACACCGAGTGCTTGCCTTGGCACATTGTGGAGGACAGGACCTTGGTTTGCTGGGTGAAATCCCAGAATGGCTCAACGACCAAGACCATTCACAGTGTGGCAGACCTCTTGTGCAGCATTACCAGGGAACGTGGGATCACTGAACTTCGAATGACTGATCACGATTTGGAGTCGATGATGAAGGTTGGGTCTGGGGTTCAAAAGAAATTAGATTGGGTTGGGTGTGATTGGATCATATCAAATTCTATGTTGGTCATTTAATTATGCTCAACAATTTCTAATGTCTATCCACCCAATGCGATCGCATTGACATTCTGACACCCAAACCCAAAAAACCACAGGTGCTTGCGGATGGACAGCAAAGGGCACTGCACTACCGCTACAAGATTAGCCCTGTGCAGAAGATCAACGCCTTCAAAGCCAAGGAATTGGACCCACAGGTTTCTCGAATTGGCATTCGGAGTGCCATGTTGGGGGCCTATTTCAGCAAGAAGTTTGACAAGATGCCGCAGAATGACTGGGTCAAGGTTCTTTGGGAGGCCAGGTCATCCCAAAACAAGTGTTGGTTTATGAATCAAAACCAAGTTCAGAAACATCAAATCTAAAACCATCTAGAATCTAAAACCAAATTCAAGCCAGCTTCTTCTATTGACATCGGTTGTTTAAAATCCAGGCCTAGGCCAAGAATGAGAAAGTTTATATAACGAACTGAACAGTAAACTAGGTTGATAACTCAGGGTGATTCCGAATTCAAAGCACCATTTGCTCACCATCCCATCACTGTGGTTCCCAGACTTCTTCCAGGTGTCAGTGGGCCCAGAAGCTCCTGCGGTGCTGACGCCCTTGAAACCCAAGCTCTTTCTTTTGGGAAGCTTGAGCATTGAACCAGCTCAGGCCATGAAACTTGTGTAAGAGATGTGAAAAGCAGCTCTCGTAGGAAGCATTGCTCGAAGAGGCAAATGCGCTAGCTGTGCGTAGCCCAAGGCTTGGCTTAGAGGACTCTAGGAACTGTATCTCAGATAGTACATCTTAACTCATTTTGGAAAACACAATCATGCTGCTTTGTGCCACACTTGGAGTTTGAGTCCAATGTCACCTTGGCGGCACAGATTTTGGATTTGGGGTTTTACCTGCAACATCGATACGCATCAGTGCCAAAACATTGATATGCATCCATGTCCATCAGTACTTCAACAATTTGCAGTCTCATATTGTGCCAGTAACTGATGATTGTTACCTAGCAGCATCTTCCTCTCGAAGTCGTAGGATGGAGGGATTCCACAATCTTGTTGAATCCGCTATGGTTTTGAAGTCCGTTGATGAGTTGTCAGATGAAGGGGCTGCCCCTGAGAATACACCCGTTCCGAAAGCCAAAGGGGGCGCAAACAAGGGCCCAAAGAAACGACCTGCTTCCTCTACTATGGACAAGCCTGACCCACCGGCCAAAAAGCCAGGCACCGCTCCATGTGATGAAAACACCAGTCCTGAACCAGCTCCAAAGGTGAAGGCAAAGGCCAAGATCGCCATGAAGCGACCTGTGGGCAAACTCTCGGTCACCAGGAACTTCTACAAGGCTCATGGCAGATACGGGTTCAAGATCAATGGCAGTGAAAAAATGTACGCAACTAGACCGCACGAAGGTTTCACAATACATATGTGATATCAGTGTGATTGTGCACAGAAAATCCATCAGTTGTTCAAGAATGAATTTCTTTTTTTCTGTGGAATTCAATCTACTTTGGCATTTACAAGTTGGCTCTTGTTTGAATCCTGGCCTCCCATCATCTCCAATCATCACCCATCCCAGTTGCGGAAGACCGAGTACGAGGGCATCGAATCGGAAAAGGTTGTGGAAATCGTTGTGTCTTATCTGATTTAGTTGATGCGTGTTTGATTTGTCATTGTCTTGAATGGTTATGGTATAAACTTTGTTCCCCGATCTTTCAACATCTTTCAACTATTTTCCATTCAAGGATGCAGTGATCGAAGAACTTCGTCGAACCAATGGAGATATTTCTGCTGGAGAGAGTTTGAAGGCAGCTGACAAAAAAAAACATTACGCCAGTACTTCTGTTTCAACTTCCAGAATCTGATCATACCGGATGGCCATAGCATTTATCAACAGTCTTTTGACAATGTTCTCCAAGATTAGTCAGGTTGGTTTTCAAAAATTGGCATTTGTTCTTCTTTCAAAGCTGGATTTTGTTCCCCCACTGGCTGCATTCCTGCCAGATGTCTATGATCGAAAAGGCCAAGCAGAAAGCGTCTGAGACCGCTGAGCCCTGTGAGGATGAAGGCGATGGTCTTAATGAAATCAACGATGATGAAGGTGCTGAGGAAGAAATTCCAATTGAATGGGACCCGGATAGCCCAAACAATGTTGGCTAGGTCAATTGGGATGTCAAAAACTTTAAATTTAGCGATGCCGATGCTGCGTAGATAGCTTAGCTTCAGTCAGCAATGAAATGGTCAACCAAGTTTTGAAAGCTACAAACGCACTCAAACTGTGTGTGCTGTTTGGGGACAATAGACCACCAAATCAAAAACTTTTGGGGATTCAGGTGCCCTATAAAATAAAGTATGTCTATGTCTATATCGGATAAAATGTTTATTTTTGGTGTCCCCAATTTTGTGGGAGAAACATCAGTTTGCACATGCTGCTACTCTGGTTGATCACATGTGTCCATTGCTGCAGACTACGCATGTGCGTTGACCCAGCTGCTTCGCCAGCACCACTGTCCGAGCGTGTGCCAAAAAAAACATGGGCATGTGTTGCACCCTTTTGGATGCACCTTTGTGTAGCGCATGAGCTGGTAGGTGGGATGACACCGTTATTTCCAAAATATCTTTCAACATAAAGTGGAAATCTCGGTTCAAAATCGGAAAAAAAAACGTAGTGGCCAGCACACAACCAAATTTTGGAATGGAATCACGTGCCCAGAAATACGTTGGTGTCTTGGCCAAAGTTTGATGGTTTTCCATGTTTTTTCCAAATGCCTAGGTATTTATACCATTTTTGGGGTGGATACATCCTAAGGATTCGACTGGCCCGGAGATATGTTGCCTGAAGACATGTACATGTACTCCTTCATCCCCGACAAGAAGATAAACCAGTGTGACCTAAGGGATCCTGAGTTAGAATGGGTGCCTCTAGATGATGCGCCTGAAAGCACCAAAAAATTGGTGTGTTGGATGTACAATTTCCATGTGAAAGGTGGTGATGACCGAACCGTGTGTTGCTGGGAAGAACCAGTTTTTTTCGTTTCGGATTCAAACTTCGAAACAGGGCCGTGGGGTGCCCAAATACAAGTGTTTGATGTTCGCATGCAGGTGGAAGGAGTTTTTTCTTTCCGCTTGGCAAAGTAATCTATGTTACCGACGCGCAGGTGAAAATGAGAGTTTCTGAAAGACTTGGGGTTGTGAGGGCTATGCAAACTACAGTTATTTACAGAACATACGTGCCCAACAATAAGCGCCTACATAAACCACCCTTAAAATACTTCGTGGTAAAAGTGTTGAGTGGGAGAGGGAGGGTGAGAGAGAGAGAGAGAGAAGAGAGAGAGAGAGAGAGAGAAGAGAGAAGAGAGAAGAGAGAAGAGAGAAGAGAGAAGAGAGAAAGAGAGGAGAGAGAAAGAGAGGAGAGAGAAAGAGAGAGAAGAGAGAAGAGAGAAGAGAGAAGAGAGAAGAGAGAAGAGAGAAGAGAGAAGAGAGAAGAGAGAAGAGAGAGGAGAGAGAGAGAGAGAAGATAGAGAGAGAGATAGTTGCGGCTTTGGCCACAGAGTGGGCTTCAAGATGAGAAGCAACCATTGCAGCTGTAGCTTTGGCCACAGAGTGGATAGAAGATGGCTCAAGAAGCAATCATTGTAGCTGTAGCTTTGGCCACAGAGTGGGCTCAAGACCAGCCATGCCACAATCATTGTAGCTGTAGCTTTGGCCGCAGGGTGGGCTCAATGATGAGCTATGCAACACTCATTGTAGCTGTAGTTTTGGTCACACAATGGACTCAAGATGGCTCAAAAGGCCAACGCCCCAGATGCACAACAAAGCCCCGGAAAGCAGGAACAGAAAATATTAGCTAACAGAAAGGGTGAATCCAGCAATCCAGCCCCTGAAGTTCTTATTGCAGTAGGTTCTTAAACAGCCGTTTCACTGTAGTCTCTAGTATGATCAACCACCACATGTTGGCCATGTCATGCGTTAACCCATTCAATCGCGGGGTTAATAAATGTTCATTGACCCATCATGGCCATCAGAAATCATGCAGCAGTCCTATGAACTCCCTACTGTTTTGGTCACTTTTTGGCCTTGTTTGCGGACCCAATTGAACATATTCCGGATATTCAGTAGTTTGTTAAAGCAGCCCCCAAGAAGAGAAAACAACTACTGCAACGTGATAGCGTACTTTTTGTACTTGCGTGGAGCTTGCGGAAAGCAAGCAATGTGTTGTCGGAATCATATTGAGCCAAAATGGCCAAGCAAGTTTGAACCATCAGATCTCTAAAGATTTGAAGCGTGTTTCGCACTTTCGTTCTGTATTCTTGCTTCCAGCAATGGCTTCATCTTCTTTGGATGCTACTTCGCTGGTTGCGAGTGCAGATGTGGTGAGCGTTGCTTCCCTGCCGGAAGCCATGGAGGTGGATGCTCCACCCTCCACCGTGGACTCTGAACTCCTTTCGGAATCTAGTTTTCAATTGGTGGGAGACCTTGCTGAGATCACGAATGAGGATTACCAGCTGGCGGAACAGGTCGCTGAGACCTACAAGAACAATGAGGACGCAACGAGCCTGACTCTTTCACGACGCTCCAGACGGCAACTAAGGTGGACCTTCAGAAGTCGCTCACTGAGCTTACCGAGGCAATGCAACGAATGCTCACTAAGGACTCCCCTGTGGACCGAGGTACAGGTACCCAACCCGGGCCAGCTGTTAGCGGCCAGGGTTCGGAAACCGACACTAAAGCCTTGTGGAATTTGAGAAGGTGACGGTAGACACATACCGCATCGCCAATGGAAACTTGGAGCTCCCCCTGGTCCCCCAGTATCTCTGCAACATGCTTCGGGACTTCACTCTGAGTGATCTCCGCGACTTCCTGACCATCTTTGACAAGGGACACTCACTAACCCCAGCGGCCTTCCACCGCATCCTGGAGAGCTATGGCCTGGCAGTCAAAAATCTGCAGCACGAGAAGATCCTGTTGGCAGAACATGTCACGAAGCGGGACGCGACCACCATCCACACCTTGGTGGCTGGACCTGAACTCTCAGACCATATCTGTGAGAACTGCAAAGCCCCCTGGCTGAAGCCTGCGAAGACAGGCACATGCTGGGCATGTGGCAAGGCGGGGAACTGAATCCCAAGGCCACAGGACCTGGGGCTGTCCCAGGAAGTGGATGGAGTCATCTGGAAGCTCCACACTGATGACAAAAGGGGTCAACTGGAAGATCCAACCAAAAGAGGGGGAACCTATCGATGAGGAGCGTGGGACCAACATGAAGGCAGCAGCCTCCATCAACGTGCCTGTGACTTTGAGAAAGTTTGAATCTCGCGCTTTCGCCCCCTAGCTTTACGCCTTTTTTTTGTGGCTATGGCCCCTAGGTCCTTTGCTGCTGCTGCGATGGAAATCCCGCGCCGTGGCGTGAATGCTGCCATGGAGATTGATGCTCCCCCCTCCACCGTGGACTCCGAGATGCTCTCTGATGGAAGCTTCCAACTGCTGGACCAACTCCCGAAGATCACTACCAACGACTACCAGATGGCAGCGGATGTGGCGGAGAACCACAAGAATGCGGAAGATGCGGCCAGCCTCACGCTCTCGGGGGGGCAACCTTGGTGACTATGCCATGCTCCAGCACGCAACTAAGGTTGATCCTCAGAAGTCCCTCGCTGAGCTGACTGCAGCCATGCAAAAGATGGCAACTAAGGATACGCCTGTGGACCAAGGTTCAAGTACCCACCGGGGCCAGCTAGCAGCGGCCAGGGATTGGGGAGCGACACTAAGGTTCTGGTGGACTTTGAGAAGGTCACGGTAGACACCTACAGCATCTTCAACGGCGGCAAGGAACTGCCCCTGGTCCCGGCCCACATCCGAAACATGCTCCGAGACTTTACCTTGGGCGACCTTCGAGACTTTCTTTCTATTTTTGGTGACCTGGAGACGCCCACTTCATCGGCTTTCCACCGGATCCTGGAGAGCTATCGACTGGCGTTCAAGAACATGCAGCATGAAAAGATCCTGGCGGCTGAGCACGTCAAGAAGAGGGATGCCACGACAATCCACAAGCTCGATGCAGGCCGGGAGATTTCAGAGTACATCTGCGAGCACGGCAAGTCGCCCTGGATCAAGCAACGAGCGGAAGGCACATGCATGGCGTGTGGCAAGACCGGTTCCCGCATGCCCATGACGAAGGACATGGGCCTGACCCAGGCAGTCGATGGCATCACCTGGAATCTCCAGCTCACTGAAAAAAGGAATCACATGGAAGATCCAACCAAAAGCAGGCGAGACTCCTGATGAGGGTACAGGAGGCCAGCATGAAGACTGCAGCTTCCATCAACATGGCCGACTTCTGTGTCCCCCTCAAGCCGCCACAGATCAACCAGGAGATCTCATACTCCGACCTGGTGCCCAACAATCAACGAGTTCTCCTCCGGGACCAAGTGATCGAGGAAGAGGTTGATGATCCACTCTTCTCCAGCACCAACATAGAAGACCGTCCTCCCTTGAAGCAGGAGTACCGCGATGGTCAGCAGGCGCTCTTCTTTCACCCCCAAGCCACCAAGGCGCTCCGTCTCCGCGCACAGAGGAAGGAAGACCCACCAGTCAAGAAATCCGTGGAGGAGAAGATGGCAGACGAGGAATAAGGCCTCCACGTGGTCCAAGCAATGCAAGAAGGGGCCCAATCTCTCTCGCATGAAGAAGCCAGGGGAGTCGAGGTTCTCCGGCACTTGAGCATCTCCAAGCTCCAGGGATACCTCAAACGCAAACATGAGGGAGACTCAGGGAGCGGCAACGCCTGGCAACAGATCGCCCTGACCCAAACCAGTCTCTCTGAGGCCAAAGCGGCCAATAAGGAGTTCCAAGAGCAAGGGCAACACAAACGCAATATGCTTCGCCCAGCGGTCAATGACAGGGACGATCTCTGGTCTCCTCAAGTGCAAAAGTTCTGGAATCGAACGCCCTGCTGCCGTCTGACATCGTGGATTTCCTCTCCGAGGATGACATCTCCATGGCTCGCACCCTCCACCTATATAGGCATGGAGACGTACATCAAGAACAAGGTAACCCATGCCCGGGATCAATGCTGTTGGAGGAGGTGCCCGAGACCCCATTGGACTTTTGGGAAGCCACTGAGGCGGCGGACGCCCCAGCTCGTAGCGGGGAGTCCAACGCTACACTGGCGACCCTCTTTCCCCTTGGCAGCATAGAACGGAAGCTCGCCATCCTGGCCATCCTCAATCAACATGCCCAAGGCCAAGTCTGCGTTTGGGGAGGACAGTGGCAGAAGAAAGCGGCGGAGCTCACGATCCCCCTGTGGGCGGCAGATGGCAAGCCCGACCAATTAGCCAACCTGGAAAGATGCACCAGGCCCTACGGGGCATAGAGGACCAGGTGAACCCTGGGATGCGGCCTAGCATGGACACCATCCAGAAGCTGTTCTGGGCCCCAGGCCCTGAAGGATCATCCCAAACTACTTGGTGAACATGCTCTAGGCGCGCACGGAGGCGGGGCTGGCGGAGCTCTTCCCTAGATTCACACATACCCTACTTTCAGAGGCTGGGGTTCTGAGCCCTGTTGGGGGCAGGTGCTACAATGGACTGCCGCCATGTTTAGGCACGTGTTACTTTGGAGCACTTCACTGCCTGTCAGGTGTGTGTGAGCCATGTCAGGCATGTGTTACCTTTGAACAATTCACTGCCTGTCAGGTATTTTCCCGGCATGTTTAGGCATGTCTTATTTTCCAGCCACTCGCTGCCTGTCAGGTGTTTGCAAGGCTTGTTTAAGCATGTCTTACTTTAGAACAATTCACTGCTTGTCAGGTACTCGCAAGGCATGTTTACGCATGTCTTATGGAGCAATTCGCTCCTGTCAGGTATTTGTACGCTATGTTTCGACATGTGTTACTTTAGAGCAAGTCACTGCCTGTCAGGTATGCACAGGGCATGTTTAAGCATGTCTTATTTTGGAGCAACTTGCTGCCTGTCAGGTATTTGAATGCCATGTTTAGACATGTGTTGCTCCCGTGCAATTCCCTGCCTGTCAGGTATTTGCAAGGCGGTTTTTAAGCATGTCTTACCTCGGCGCAATTCACTGCCTGTCAGGTATGCGCAAGGCATGTTTAAGCATGTTTTATTTTGGAGCAACTCGCTGCCTGCCAGGTATTCGCAAACCATGTTTAGACATGTGCTACTTTGGAGCAATTCACTGCCTGTCAAGTATTTGCAAGGCATGTTTAAGCATGTCTTATTCTTGGAGCAAGTGGCTGCCTGTTAGGCAGTTGCACGGCTTGTTTTACTCTTAGACATGTTTTGCACATCAGTGCTGGTTATGCGGCCAGGTGCTTTCGCGCAACACAGTGCTACCAGAGAGCCAAGGGCTAATGGTGAGCCCAAGGGCTCATGGTGAGCAATTCCCCGGTATCAGAACACAGTGCTACCAGAGAGCCAAGGGCTAATGGTGAGCAATGGGAGTCTGCCCACACTGCGGCAACACACCCAGCGACACGGGTCGTGGGACAGCAAACCCTCTCTGCACAGGTGCCGACGGCCCTGATGGGAGCAGGGAATTTCAGCACCAGTCACACCCACCAGGAGGTTGAAACGTGTATCATCCAAAGCAACACCACCAAAATCCAGGGCGAGCAAAGGGCTGAAGGCCCTTTCCTTCCTATCTCCTGGAACCACAACTAAGGCTGAACCTGCCACAGGGGTAACCCATCCAACCTATTCTACTGAGGTACCTACTGAGGCCACGCTTGTGGTGCCCACTACGGCGCTCATGGCGGCTTCTGACCGCCCGCTGGTTGAACCCGTGGCGAAGACAGCTACAAGATACTGATCCCATTACCCCAAGACAACTGGAGAAGGAACTTCGACTCAAATGGGCCCAAAGGTTGGTGTCCCTCCTTGCACCCTTCGTGGACAAGATACCCAACATGGCCTCGATCATGAGCCCACACCAAGAGAGGGAATGGTTGGACCTTCTGGGAGACACGAGGTTCAGGACATTACGGATCCATTGCCTGGCACTGGAAAACCTTCAAACAACGGGCTTCACACAGATCCCTTGGACCGAATCAGATGTGCGGGAGCACCTCAACAGGATGAGGGTTGAGGAAGCCTCCCCACACAAGATCCAACGAGTCTGGGAGACACTGCGTTGGTTCTCCAAACGGTTTGGCTTTCTCAGGATCGATGCCTGTGAACGGCTCATGGAGAAGAAGAAGACCCTCCAGGAACAAGGAGTGGACACGGTAGCCAAACCCCAGCGGAAGGCCATCTTACCCACAAAAGAAGTAATCTGGACCCTGGAAGAAGTAGCTGCGGGATCAGGTCAGACCCCGGCTGGTAGTGGGGAGAACGTGAGTGCCCACACTATCCTTGACCAGTACATCTGTGGAGTGGTGAGATTCCAGACCCGCCAGGAAGAAGGAGTGGACACGGTAGCCAAACCCCAGCGGAAGGCCATCTTACCCACAAAAGAAGTAATCTGGACCCTGGAAGAAGTAGCTGCGGGATCAGGTCAGACCCCGGCTGGTAGTGGGGAGAACATGAGTGCCCACACTATCCTTGACCAGTACATCTGTGGAGTGGTGAGATTCCAGGTGGCCTGCAATGCACGATTCAAAGTTTTTGTCCCTGACTGCGCATACCAGTTGGGATTCCCACGAGATCAACGTCAATACCTGGGAAACTGGACCACGGAGACAACAGCAGACATCTACACCAGGGACAAGCGGAATGTAGTAGAAAAAGTCTGGAAAGCAGTGGGGGGACAAGATGGGTATCCTCAAGCTGGACAACCCCACTGCGCTGCGTCGGATTGACCTCAACCACGAAGATTGGGACGACCCGACCCCGGGCCAGGACGATGTCAGACGGGAGCTGGACATGGAAGTCCTTGACACGCCAGATCATCCTGTGGAGGATGCAGCAATGACAGGAAGCCACCCCAACAAGCGGCGCCGGACGCCCACAATGGCAGGGAGCCTAGGGACGTGGCAACTGATCCGGGATGAATAACAACTCCACCCCCACTGGGTTCATTGCGGGTGATGTCATCCTCGAAGAAATCTAGGGCAACGAATCAGTATACCGTGCACCTCCTTACCCAGGAAGGGAAAGCCGTGGGATGTGGTTGGGAACCACCATCAACGAAGGCACTCGACCTGTCACCTGAAGACTTCCGCAACGAACTGGATTCTTACGCCCAGGAGTACTCATACCCAAAGGAGTGGCATGCCAAGGTCATCCGGACCCAGGGCGCCCTCTCAGAAGGGTCATTGTCTAGCCTGAGCTCGGGCTCAGACACACTGGACTTAGTGGACACTGAGTCAGATATGGAAAAGATCAACGGTGCGGCCCTTAGCCAACAACAAATCCTTCTCCTTGCGACCTGAACCAGCTGTATGCGGTTAGGGTGAATGGGAGGGGGTTCTCAGGGGGGACAACGTCTTCCTGCCATCCTTCGGTTTGGGTGTGGTGGTGTCAGTCACCCGTTGGTTTGGGTTGTTTTTGGTGACACCACCACTGATTTCTCTGCCAAGTTGTGGCAGGTGGTCTAACAGACCACTGGTGACATAGGTCACAGACATAAAGCAGCAGCCGCACAGGCACCATCTTAGCATTGTGTAAAAAAAAGGAGATGGTGCTGCCTTGCTCTTAGCTTTTCGTTGGAACCTTAGTAGCTTGCCATTTTCGATTGTTACGGGAACACTTTGTACTTGCGTGGAGCTTGCGGAAAGCAAGCAATGTGTTGTCGGAATCCTATTGCCAAAATGGACCATCAGATCTCTATAGATTTGAACCCACCCTCCACTCCCTATGGCGCTGGTCTTACCCCCGGCAGACATACCAGCGGACCTCTCGGAGGATGTGGAGAAACTCCACCAATCAGTCCGGACCTTACTCACTCACAAGAGTATCCCATGGCAGGAGATGGCAAAGCTAGCCCAAGACGGGCACGTCACAAGGGAAGACCTGGCAGACCGCTGGGACACAGCAGAGACCGCCCGTACGGCGGCACCAGCAGTGCTGGATTTTGCCCGCAATGCTCATATCACTGAGGCACAAGAGAAATTCATTGCCATGCGGATTTACCAGTGTGTCAGGCATGCTAAGTCTGCTGTTGAGCACTCACCAGGACGGTATGGGGAAGCGGCATCCCCGGGCAAGTCGACCCTGGGGGGATCACTTGACGCATTCTGTGACAGGAAGCAACTTCTCAAGAACTGGGACGACGTGGTCAAACTGCCCAGACCCAAGTTAGAATTCCAAGGCTCCGAAACCTTCCTCAAGAAACAGTGGAAGTATTGTTCCCAAGGGGAAATTGGATGGTCTCAGATCAAACACATTGTGTCGGCTCTCCCGGAAATGGACGAGCGTCCAATCAGTACCAGACGTAAGATCACCTTGAACGGTTGGGAGAGGGAAGAAGAGGAGGAAGAAAGAAAGGTACCGACCACCAGGGAACAGTTGAAAAGGGCACACTTGGTCTTCAGGAACACATTGTTGATGTGCCTCTCGTCCTTCCCCCAATTCACACAGTTCAATGTCCAGTTCCAAGACTTGGAGGACTGGTATCGTTTCTTTTGGGGAAAAGACATTGCAGATCGCAAGCCACCTTCCAGCGAGACAATGTTACTGTATGCTGAGAGAAACGCTTGGCGCGAGATCCACAACAGGGTCTATGAGGGATCCACCCTCAAGAAGGCTGACACTCTCTTTTGGCAGAGAGAGGTGCATGAGAGGCTCCAAAAACCACAAGACCGAACACAAGGCCCTCAGGGGAACACACCATCCACAAAGGGCAAGGGCAAAACCAAGCCGGCATGGTCACCGGCACAGAACCAATGGTCCAAGGGCAAGCCGTCCCAGAAAGGGAAGTCCTGGGAGGGCACCTCAAAGGGAAAAGACACCAATTGGCCCAAGAACTGGGCCACAGCCACCCCAGGGGGCTGCAGTACTGCAAAGACCATCTCCTTCGTAACAAGTGCCCTGGAAACTGTGGCCGATCACATGGATGCCCTGTAATTAAGGATGGCTGGACCTGTAACGGAAACCATCCACCAGACCAATGCCCTAATAAGTGAGAGGGAGGAAAACCCCAGCCGGTGGCGGGGAGTCCCCCAATCTCACAGATAGGGGCGGGAGGTACCCCCCTGGATGGGGGCTGGTCTGTCAGGGGCCGAGTACCCACACACATCGCACACCACAAGCGGGAGGCTGTCTCCGCGCCACACCAGGACCACCCTTGGAAGCGGTCCAGACCCATGACCCAATCACCACACCACACCTCTCAAGCCACACCCATGTGACCACAGCGAATGAAGAGTCGGGATCTTATTCGTCTTTGACTGCTGAGGTTACACCCCAATCGGTCCTGACCTTACTTTGTCCATGGACTAAGGAAATCCCAACACGCCTCAGACAAAGGCTACACTGGAATCCAACACCCCTCCCAGAAGGTGAGATCCATGACCCCACAGCACTCATTCTGTACGCCGGGGATGATGATCCCACCTCACTGCACCAAGCTATGTTGCAAGAATCCCAACACTGGCCGGTCCAGATCTTGGAGATTGACAACAAACGTCCTGGCAAGGCAGTCGAGCATGACATGCTCGGAGAGGAACCATATGGCAGACTTTGTCGAGCAGCCATACAGGGCAAACTCAGGGCCCTACTGGGCGGCCCCAACTGCCGCACATGGTCCTCAACCAGTCCGAGGGCTGCACCCGGACCATGACCTGGGGACTTCCAGGAATACGCCAGGAGGAGCAACAGGACACTGACAATGATAGCATTCTTCTGTTACGATTCCTGGTCACCATGGTTCTTGCCCATGAGGTAGCAAAACAGCATGACCTATCCAGACCGGCAACTATGTTGGAACACCCTGAGGACCCAATTCAGTGTTCATCATCCCCATCAGCGGCAAAATGTTCCAGCATTTGGGCCATCAGTTGGCTGCGCAACTTGCTGCAGGCACTTGGGCTGACCTTGATACATTTTGACCAGTGCCGGCTTGGACAGCACACCCCCAAGCCAACCACAGTGGCAACAAACCTCCCTTTGTTCCACTGGCAAAACCTACGGCGCAACCATGCAGAACATGCCAGGCTAAAAGGAAGATCATCAGCAGATCTCAGTCGGTATCCATGTCCCATGATGCAAGGATTGGCAAGAGCCCTTCTGGAATCAGACTTTGCCCAAGGACAGAAGCCATGGGGCTCCGACCCAAGCCCATCAGACAGACCAATGACACAAGCGCACTCACAAAGAATGGGCCTCCAAGATAACCCGATTCGGGTCCAACTCGGTTTTCACACCAGACCACTCAGAGATGGCGGAGGTAAACCATCGTGGGGGAGGACACCCCCACCACAATGCCCAAAGTTGTAATGCCCTTCCCTCTGTGCACCTTGGATGCAGGGCTTTACAGCAGGGCAACAAGGCACACCCCTTCCCAGACACATTGCTCTCGAAGATCCGAGAGCGGCTTTCCCAGGAGTGCCAGAACGGGAAAGACCACATGGAAGTTGCGGAAGGGCAGCCCTTCTTTTTGAACCGAGGGGAAGAAGACCCGCTCCCAGACTATCCACCCCTCCAAGGAAGGGACAATTATCCATCGGCCAAAGAATTCACCGATGAGATCAATGCCACTTTTGAAGAAGAGAAGAAAATGGGGATGGTCCTGGGACCATTCACCCAACAAGAAGCAGCTGAGGCCTGCGAATGTACTCCAGACCAACTCTGTCCGGGACCAATGGCAGGGATCCAAGAATCCGACAAGGTCCGGACAATACTTGATGGATCATGGGGTGGTGCTAACACCCATATCCAAGCAAACACCACGGAACGAACAACAGCCCCCACAGTCATGGATTGTGTTCAAGCAGGGTCCCTCCACTCCAGCAGGTTGCGGGGAGGAGGACTTGGGAGATGGCTGGATGCCACCGACTAAGGATCAAGCCTGGACCTTACTCAAAGCTGACATCACCAAGGCTCACCGACGGATTAAGGTCCTCAAACCAGACTGGAAATACCAGGTGGCTCAACTTGGTCCTGAAGCATGGTGGGTCAACAAGGTGGGCACCTACGGCATGGCTTCAGCGCAACTATATTGGGGAAGAATGGCCGCATTACTTCTCCGATTGACCTACATGATCTTCCCACAGATTGACTGGGGCTTTGTCTTTGTGGATGACTTCTGCTGGATCCTCCGAAAGGGCACAGCCACAGCCTGGGCCACCACCTTGCTGGCAACATATGTGGCTCTGGGCGTTCCCTTGAGTTGGAAAAAGACTGTGCTCGCCGGAGTCAATACTTGGTTGGGTTTTGTGGTCAATCCCCAATCGCTTGTGGTGCGCATGGCTGAAGACAAACACGTCATCATCATGAAACTTTTGAGACAACTCCAAGCTGGTGAAGTCTTCACCTCCAAGGCCATTGAGAAGGCCCTGGGACGAATCAGCTGGGCGACAAGTGTATGTCCACTTTCAAGACCCTTCCTCCAACCATTTTGGGCATGGAAGATGGCATGTAATACCTCGAGGAAACCCCCGAAGCTGGTCACCTTCTTTGCGAAGATGCTACAGATGATCTTCTCAGTCCCCTTCAAGCAACCTTCTCCCTATGTGGGCGTCTCCAACTGGTGGGGTGCAAGCGACGCCAGTGCTACGAGAGATGTCCACACTAGCCGCCCATGGATTGGAGGCTGGATCTCTGACATGGAGGCCCCAGACAAATCAGCTGTCTGGTGGTTTCAACTCGAAATTCAACCGGACGAATGTCCATGGGCTTTTGTTGATGGTGACTCTACCAGAAGAATAGCATCCTTGGAAATGCTTAGGACTTAGCACCTTAGTTTTGGCAGCCTTGCTGATCCAACATGGCTCCTCCACTCTACTCCGGCTCCAGCTGGCACTGATCTCTGACAACCAGGGCAACGTCTTTGCCCTGTTGAACCAGAACACGAAAAAGTTGCCCACCGCAGCCTTTCTCATGCAGCTGGTGCATCTACTATAATATGACCGAGGAGCACAACTGGCACCGAACCATTGTAAAAGAGATCACAATCAATGGGCTAGACGAGCTGACTCACCCGGCGCCAGTAGGTTTCACCCCGGAAAAGCGACTTTCGCTTCAATCAATTTTCTTGCTTCCTTTAAGCTTTTGCCACAAGTTTTGCAGGATTGGAAAACTCCTTCTCTTTGAAACCGGTCCTTGTGGACCTGAAGGAATGATAGAATCCTGCCCGTCTCCACCCAACCCACCCATGATCCCATGTGGGAGTCCGGTGGGTGCGGCTGCTTTGATGTGGGGTTGTTTTTGATGACACCACCACTGATTTCTCTGCCAAGTTGTGGCAAGTGGTCTAACAGACCAATGGTGACATAGGTCACAGACATAAAGCAGCAGCCGCACAGGCACCATCTTAGCATTGTGTAAAAAAGGGAGATGGTGCTGCCTTGCTCTTAGCTTTTCGTTGGAACCTTAGTAGCTTGCCATTTTCGATTGTTACGGGAACACTTCTATATTTTGCGGGGGTTACTACACATCATGTTCCAAAACCGGGATTCGACACAAAACTGCACTAGTGTGGGTATAAACAATAGTAAACCATGCCCAATTTGTCTCATGGGTGGTATAAACCATCGAAAATATGGGTGCTTTATTTTTGCTTGCTTTACTAACATTTTGATTGTCAGAAATGAACCACAGTAATCCATAGTAATCCCATCGATCCAAGTTATTGACCCCAAAACCATGAGTACCTTGGAGGATTTGCAGCCATGAAAGGGGCTAGTTCTAGATCCAAATTGGTAAAAAATCTTCGACATCTTTCGGGAATGCTTAAAATTAGTAGAAACTAAAGATTCAATTCCCATTTTTGGGGTAGTTCACATGGACTAGATTTAATACAACCGGTGGAAGGAATTGCAACGATACGTCGATTTTATCGGTCAGTTGGTACCTGTTGGTACCGCATGAGCCAGACCTCCAAAGGTATCCCAGGTATCCTAGCCCAATTGGGTCAAATAAGTTCCTTAAACGGGTTTTGCTGATAGCGAGTAACCCCTTAAGCTCTCAATGTTGGGGACCTGTTTGGGGGTTGGGGAGAACTATGCTACAGTAATGTGGATAAAACAGAAATAAACCATCCCCCCAATCACCATAAATAGGTCGTATAAACCATTCCCAAATGGGTTTTAACCGCGTCACAAGCTTTTTTTTTATATTTACCAACATATCCAACTTGTAGTATGGTCGGATTTTATGGGAACCCACCAGGACGTATCCATCATTTTTCCATGTAAGCGGGCAACTCTGGATCAAGGTTTGCAAACATTTGAGATATCGTTGGGGATTACTCAATACAAGGTGGGGGCCCCCTAGATAGCTAAGTTGGTTTGTAGTTTGGTTAACTATGGTTTATCATTTATATATATATTATTTATATAATTAGTTCTACGCAATGATATATATATATATATATATAACTCGGGGCCACCACCTTGTATGAATAGGAAATGCAGATTGAAATCTGATCAGTTTGGGGTGGAACATGGACCCAGAACTACCATTTTCACAGGCTTGTTTACAACCCAGCTATGCATCTCAGACAGCTGGCTGTTGGTAGTTCCCTTTGGTAAATCGCCAAAACATGTTATAGGCAAATTATATACCAATAGATCATGAATAGATAATATGTATATCAATGTACTGTATATTTCTGTATCCAGGCCAGGTAGGTATACACATTCCACAAATTGAAGGGATATGGAATATGTTTCAACCTGTATAATCTAACTTGACTGGCTGGACAATCATTTTTTCACACTACAGTGATCTTGTTTGATGATGAATGGTTGAAAATGGTTGAAATATAATTCAATGCAGTTAAACTTGGTTGAGGCACCGAGGTACCTTATCCCATCTTATCCCTATGATGAGCCTGCAAGGTTTGACACCCCATCCTTTCCTCAATCAAGGGAGAACCAAAATGACCTCAGTGGCCAAAGCATCAGTAGGGCTCCAGGGCATAGTTAAAAAAAGGGGAACTTCTCAATCATCAAGAATTGTCATGGAATAATTCATAGTTATGAAGCATTAGCGTTTTCTAATTATGTGTATATATCTAATTATTCATGCTCTTATGTCAGAGTTGTGAATGATTTTAATTCAGCCAGATGTTCGACAGGGCCAATAGTCCTTTAGCCCCTGGACTCCATTCACAAACACGGAAATCTGAAGATAGGGTCCCCAAATGGTGCATCGTCGGTTTCGGGTTTCGGGTTTCGTCGCCTGAAACCAACTTTCGCTGTCGGTTTCGGGTTTCGGGTTTCGGGTTTTGTCGATTGAAGCTAACTTTAGCTGTCCGTTTCGGGTTTCGGGTTTCGGGTTTCGTAGGTCGAAACCACCTTTAGATTCACCAGTACGATGCCGATCTCACATCACCCAAGTGTCGTTCTCCATGCAGTCGTCAAAAACAAGAGCGGTGAGTGACAAGCGCCTGAGAAGGCCAGAGAAAAAACGGCAACGGTTTGGGGGAACCTGCCAGCATCCGTAAGTAGCTGTCACTGAGTGGATTAGATTAGATTAGGTAGATTGGATTAGATTAGATTAGATAGATTAAAGTAGATTAGACTAGAAATAGATTAGATTAGGTAGATTCGATTAGATTAGAATTGGATTAGATTAGGGTAGATTAGATTAGATGAGATTAGATTAGATTAGATAGAGTAGATCAGATTAGATTAGGTAGATTAGATTAGATTAGATTAGGTAGATTAGATTAGATTAGATAGATTAAACTAGATTTGAATTAGAGTTGGTTAGGTAGATTAGATTAGGTTAGACTATATAGATGAGATAAGATTAGAATTATATTAGATTAGATTAGATTAGGTAGATTAAATTAGATTAGATTAGGTAGATTAGATTAGGTTAGATTAGATTAGTTTGATAGATATGATATTATATGATATGATTTGGTTTCATTAGATTAGATTAGATTAGATTTGAAAATTAGATTAGGTTATATTAGATTAGATTAGGTAGATTTGATTAGATTGGAATTAGAATTAAAATAGAATAGGTAGATTAGATTAGATTAGATAGATTAGATTAGATTGCTTAGATTAGATTAGTTTGGGTTAGATTAGAATCTGATTTGATTAGGCGGATAAGATTAGATTAGAATTAGATTACTTAGATAGATAGGTTAGGTTACGTTAGGTAGATTAGATTAGATTAGGTAGATTAGGTTAGATTAGATTATAATGAGATTCGATTAGGTAGAGTAGCTAAGATTAGATAGGTTAAACTAGATGAGAATTAGATTAGATTAGGTAGATTAAATTAGATTAGATTAGGTTAGATTAGATTAAACTAGATTA